ATGGTCTGCCTCACCCACCCTCATCAGCTTTCCTTGATATGCTACACTGCATTATTACCAGCTGACATTTCACAAAAGGCCATTTTTCACACTTGAGATTCTGCACACCTCCTGTGATCACCCAGGACTCCATGATGTTCAGATTAGAATCTGTGGTGTTGTACAATATCCAGTCCTGTCCTCTGTCTATCATTGTTTCCTAGAAGGCTTAACCTTCTTCCAGAAGAAAATGAGAGGGGAGGGGGATGTGGCAGAAGGTTTGGTGTGAAAGCCTCAGAGCAGAATAGAGTTCCAGGGGATCAGAAGTTCAGCTGAGCTCAGCTATGTTTATGAAATGAAACTGGGGAGCTGAACTTGGATCTGGCAAAACTCCTAAGGGGAGTAGTGTCCCTTCAAGGCAAAACAGGGGATCATTTGCTGTTGCTTCCAGACAGCGTTAACAAGTAGTCAGATTATCAGGTTGTAAACAGATGTTGGCTTCAATCCGACATCCCCTCAGCCTAGCATAAATATCTGCATGTGGAGATTTGTTGCAACAGCACTATGCAACCCATGCAGAATAGCAATATTGTACAACACATCTCAATGACCAGGTGCCTTGTGAAATGCACAATATGCAGTGCACAATGGGTACCCACAATGTTCAACATTACTGCATGTGCAACTCCTCACTTGCCTGTCAGCAGAATGTATCTCTGTCAGCAGAATATGTTGCTGCGCTATGGCAAACAATTTGTCCCCCACATGACTACAACATGTACATCTAGCTGAATGCAAGCTCTTCTGTTTAAAAAGTGATGGAAAGTGCCATTGCTGCTCTTAAAACATACAGCGGTCAAGATCCTGTGTACTGTAAATCTCTTCCAAATGCAATTCTAGCAGGACACTATAATAAGTTGCCTTTTGAAAACAGGCTATCTATCTGTGGCCAGTTTCAGGTGGAAACGATTGTTCACCACATGTTAACCTGTCCCTTGTATAAATAACCCAAGAGAAAGATTTCAGAAAGCCTTGCTGACTCATGGAAGTGGGACCTCTCCTAGAGAAGTGGTTCAGTTTCTTTTGAGCGATAGCAATGGCTATGTAACAGAAATGAAGTGGCCTCTTTTTGCTTTGATTGGAAAAAAGAAAGACCACAAGAAGATAGATAAAATTGTTTTGGAGATACAAAGTATTCATTTGGATTTCCTGTAGGTAATTTCGAAATGTTGAAAAAGAAAAGAGGAAGACCACATTGCAAGTGGATGGAGTCAATCAAGGAAGCAACAGTTGCCCTGAATCCGTAAGACCTGAGAAGAAGCACTGATAACAAGATGATTTGGAGGTCTCTCATTAATGGGGTCACTATAAATGGCAATTAACATCAAGGTGTCACTATCAGAACTTTCACCAAGGCATTTGAACTCAATTTTACACTCCCTGAACTTAAACAGTACAACATTATAGCCACTATTCTTAATGCCTTCATTTAGATGCCCCTTCTAGGTGCTCACATTTCCTAAGGGACTGTCATGGACAGGACCTCCTTTCTGGTGAAACTATTGTTTGGTTTGTCCAGAACTCATATGCTTTCTAGTTTGCTGTTCAGGCTGCTCCTGATGAAACTAGTGCAACTCTAATTATACCATTTTAATGAATGACTTCATTTTATGGCTGGCTTTTATTACCGATAAGCTACCATGAGAATATTTTACTGTACAGAGGCATTAGAACAAAGCAATAAATAATAAACACTGCCTGATAATGGCAGATCCTCCCTTGAATTTCATGTCTGATTTCTTCAGGACCTGTTTGTAAAGTTGGTTCTCTGTCAGCAGAATGGAGTATGGAATCACCTTGGGAGAGATCAAGGGAAATCTGATATACCCACTTGGTGTTCGGGTGGACAGTACTTTTAAGAAGGCATCTCTCTAATCAGATATTAAGTTTTCAAATGGGTCTTGCTGCATCTTTTCCAATGATTTCCCATCACTGACTTCTATTTCCCCTGAAAGATAACATATCCACACAGAAGAAACTTGGTCTCCAACTGAGACCTGGTGGAAAAGTCTGGAAGCCAAGTAGAAGAAAAAAATTGAACAGTGAAAGGTGTGTGTTGTCATCATAACTACGATGGAGGTCCATCACTGTAGTTACGACTGCCAATAACTCCCCCGTACCTGCCTTTCCAGCCTAGCAATACCCCGATTGAAGCATTTCTGAGACTCTGGAGATTAGGATACTGGGAAATAATATTTGCAGCATGTTCCCAGTGCCTTGAGAACAGGGAGCTGAAGGACCCCTTTGCGTCTTACTATAATAATAATAATAATAATAATAATAATAATAATAATAATAATAATAAATTTTATTTACATACCGCCCTGTGGCAAGCCAATCTGGGCGGTGTACAACAATAAAATAAATACAACTTAAAACAATATAATTCCCTCCTCCCCCCCTTAAAAAGTTATTAAATCATGTCATAGTTAAAACAATTTACAGTTAAAACAATAAATTTTTGAAGAAAATAAAAAATACAATTTTTTTTCCTGATTTTTTTTCAGAATTTTTCTAGAACTGCTTCTCCCATGCCACTGGGAAAGCATTGTCTGGGAAAGCACTGAGAACATCATTTCCCAGTGTTCCAATATCCAATGCTAAGGTATAGATGACCACAAGGTACTCTTAATCTAATTAACAAGAACAATGGTGTTACCAGATCAAGGATTCTTACCAGCAACAGACAACAAACAAATCAGTCAGGGGATGCATTGGCAAAGCCTCTTTGAAAAAACAAGCCAAGAAAACCCTATGATAGGTTCACCTTGGAGTTTCCATAAGTAAAAAAATGACTTGATGGAGGCACATAGCAACAAATAGGTATATATACCCACAATTACTAATGACAAAATCAACCAAACATTATATGCCACAACAATATTTCAAATTTTACTATTTCCAGCTTTATGAATATAATAGGCAGTACAAAGAACTAAAAGTTCAAAGACAGTGTCCATAAATAACTTCTAATAAAGTATGCTGGCTTGTTTCAAATCAGCTTCCAATGGATATTCATGAATAAGGAACCTCTATGGTAGAAATTCACAGCTGGTGGATATTGTTGTTGAATATAATGTATCATTACATTTTAGTTGCCTGTGTCATTAGTAACTCTCTCTCTCTCTGTGTATGTATATACATATATAACCTCTGATAATCTTTTTTGTTATCACTTAAGACACTATTATTGGTAAGGATATGTGATCTGTCTAGACCAGGGGTCACTAGTAACTCTCTCTCTCTCTCTCTGTGTATACACACATACACACAACCTCTGATAGGTAATCTTTTTTGGTATCACTAAGACACTGTTGTTGGTAAGGATCCATGATCTGTCCAGGAGTTCCCAACCTGTGCTCCAAGGAGTCTTTAGGGCGCCTCATGCACTTCCCAGGTGATCTGTGGCCACTCCAGAAAAATGAAAGAAATAAAAATTGAATAAAATTAAAGAATAAGAATATATTCTTATATATATTCCTAAACACCATTAACTTGTAAGACATAGAGTAGGAGTCTCTTAGGGGCTCCACCATAGAAATAAGGGCTCTTCAAATCCACAAGGTTTGGAACCCATGGTTCAGACCAATCTCCAATGCTTCATAAATGCTTTTACTGAGGGGTTACCAAAGTATCAAGGTAGATTTTTGGGATTCACAGCCATAAATGTGAATTCCCCAATAGCTACAAAATTGTAAGTCTTATAATATTGTAAGATTAAAATATAACTGTTGAACTGGATGCCAACCATTTAGTTTGAAGCACGGGGGGGGGGGCAACTGTGGGAGGCCAGAGGAGGTCCCCTAAGGGACATTTGGGGGGCATTTTGGAATATGTTAAAAAAAACCCCACAACATTTTTGACCCTTGAGGGCTCCAAACCCTTTGCCTACCCTTGTTTTAAAGTGTCAATAGCCATTACCTATGTAGTCCTCCCCCACCTTGTTAGTTTCCTTCTTAATTTTTCATGTTAATTTTGGGTTTTTGTAATGGCTGTTCTTAAAATTGCTCCTGTTTTCATGGTTTATTAATTTGTATTTGCAAGATTGTTTGAACTATGGCTGATTTTTTTTCTATTAATCACTTTGTGTTTTTCCTTAGGGGAACAGACAGAGCATAATGGGTTTATTTTCTCAGATAAATAATACCTATTAATAAGTTGATAAGATAAAGTGGTTTCACCATTTCATATACAAATATCTTAGGGAGGGGGACTGAGGAGTAGAATAAAAATGTGCCCTCCGACACTTGCTAGGCTTCTGCTTCAGCACTAAAGCTTACTGCCTCACAAGCTTGGTGAAGTGAAGTTGTTGTCGTTGTTGTTAAACAGTATTCATCCTCTGCCTTTCCTCTCAAAATGGGAGTCAGGGTGGCCTACAAATTAAGGTGTTTCCAGTATAGTTAAAAACAGACAAACAGCCAACATTAAACTATTGACAATATTAAAATAATTTAAAACAGACACTTAAAAAGGATAAGAAGCAGTTCAAAACAGTACAATTTATAACAAGACAGCACTCTCATTGTTGTTGTTATTATTGTTATTGTTGTTGTTGTTGTTGTTGTTATGTGCCTTCAAGTTGTTTCTGACTTACGGGGACCCTAAGATGAACCTATCATGGGGGTTATTTTGGTAAGATTTGTTCAGAGAAGGTTTGCCTTTGCTTTCCTCTGAGGCTGAGAGAGTGTGACTAACCCAAGGACACCCAGTGGGTTTCCATGGTTGAGCAGGCATTCAAATAGTAACAGCAATAGCAAGTATATTTCCATACTGCTTATCAGTGCACTTAAGGACTCCCTAAGCAATTTATAAAGTGTAAGCCAATTGTCCCCAACAAGCTGGGTACTCATTTTAGCAACCAACGAAAGAATGGAGGGCTGGGTGGACTCTAGAGCCCTGCCTGGGATCCAACTCGCAATCTTGTGGCTGTGAGTTGCTGCAGTACTGGCATTTAACCACTGTGCCACCAGGGTTCAAACCCTGGTCTCCGGAGTCGTAGTCCAAAGCTCAAACCGCTACACCACTTTGGCTCTCCAGAGAGCATAAAAACGGTCATTTCTTATATTCCATTCCAAACTTTGGTCTTCCAGGTATTTTGGAATTCAGCTTCCAGAAGTCCTAGCCAGTTGGGTCAACAATCAGGAATTCTGGGACCTGAAGTCCAAAACATCTGGAGGATCAAAGTTTGGTAAAGACAATGGACTTTTACAGGCTGCCAGAAATAGTGCAGCTTGAGGCCACTTTAACTGTCCTGACTCAGTGCTAGGGAATCATGGGAATTGTATTTTTTTCTGGGACATTGAGCCTTCTCTGTCAGAGAGCTCTGGTGTCACAATAAACTACAGTTCCCATGATTCCTTAGCATTGAGCCAGGACAGTTAAAGTGGCCTCAACCTGCACCATTTCTGGCAGTCTGTAAAGTCCCATTGTTAGAATAAAAAGTATTTGATCACCAACAGAAGTTAAACCAAGGAATGGGCTATTCTACCCTACCTAGGAAGGGAATCCCAAAGTCTAGGGGCAGCCACTGAGAAGGCCCTGTTTCTCATCAATTGTAACTTTGATGATGATGGTACTGAAAGAAGGGTCTTCCCTGAAAATCTCTAGGGCCAGGCAGGCTCATAAGTGGAGAGAGAGCCTTGCCGCATAGCCTGGAACCAAGCCATGTAGGATTTTTTTAGTTCATAAGAAGTCCTTTGAACTGTGTCCAGAAAGAGACCACCAGCACAAGTTGCCATTTAAAATTCCCACCATGCCCCTCGATACAGCATTGTTCTACAGAATTCTGGGAAATTTAAATGGAGGATCTAAACTTCCTTGCACTGATTGCTGTACTGCGGTGCATCAGACTGATAGACCCTGGAACTACTGATATACTCTGGAACATTATACTTTGGGATTACATTATCTAGAACTTCTTTAGCCAGTATGGCCAGTCTCCCACTGGGGCCCACCAATATAGCAGGATTTCTCCCCAGTTTTCTGACTGCAGCATAAAAACTGAACCATCTCTGTTTGGAAACATCTGTCTCATGTCATGAGAAATGGGAGAACACCCTGCAAACCTATGGCTGTGGGAAACTGTTGTTGTGTGAGCAGGAAGCCTCTAGAGTGCTGTTCTGTTTGGTCTGCTTTAGATTTGTTGCTCTCAGGTTCCTGTCATTTCTTTTTAGAGTAGTTCAGAACTTTTTTCACTGGGTCCCGGCTGCTGCCAAGCTGAATAAAACACACTTTGTTATTCGAGACCCAAGTGATACTGGATCCACATTATGACATATGCTGGGAACTATTTATTAGTTACAAAGTCCTTGGATGTGTCTGAAGCCAAATTTCTGGTTTGGCTGTCTGTCTCCATCAACTAAATACCCTAAAGGCAAAAGAGCTTGCCTGATATTGAAAGTTAAGCAGGGTCAGCCCTGGTTAGTACTTGGCAGGGAGACCACCTACACATACCAGGTGCTGTAGGCTAGATTTTGGAGGAAGCAAATGGCAAAAACCTGAGTATTCCTTGCCTAAGAAAACCCAATGATATTCATGGGTTTGTCATAAGTCTACAGGTGACCTGAAAACACATACACACAGAGTACAGTTTAAATTAACCCAGCATTTTCCAAAATGAAATGTCTTTCTCCTTGGCTGGCTGTCCATATTATCTTGAAATGCAAAGATTGCTGCTGGAAGTAAACACAGGTATTGCTTCTAGGACACAGAGTCAACAGAGATCAAACAGGGTAAAAAGGAATGTTTGCACCAAAACAAAATGATTCTATTGTTTTAACTACTGTAAAGGCACCAGCAGATCCTGTCTGATCTTGGAAGATAAGCAGAGTCAACTCTGGTTAGTACTTTGATGGGAGATCATCAACAAGTACCAAGTGCCATAGGCAATATTTTGGAGGAAGAAATGGGAAAAACCACCTCCAAGCATTTCTTGGCTAAGAAAACCCTATAAAATTGATGGGGTTGCCACAGGTTGACAGATGACTTGAAGGCATATACATACAAATATTACTAAAGTCATATAGCACTTTGACTGTTATTCCTGAATAATAACAAAGAAGGTTTGGTGGATATGAGCAAAAATCAATTTCTGAAATGTTGCATGTGACATGCAAAAGTAAACACAAGTATTGCTTCCAAGACACAGAATCAACAGAGATCAAAAAGAGAGGAATGTTTGCATCAAAACAAAATGATGCTAATATTTTAAATACCATAAAGCAGGGGTAGGCAACCTTTCCCCTTTAAAGGTCGAGGGACTTCAGCTCCCAGAATCCCAGGAGCTATTGGCCAACATGGGACAATTGGCCAACATGGCTGAGGCTTCTGGGAGCTGAAGTCCCTCAGCCCTTAAAGGGGAAAGGTTGTCTACCCCTGCCATAAAGGCACCAGCAGATCATGTCTGATCTTCGAATCTAAGCAGGGTCAGCCCTGGTTAGTACTTGGGAGACCACCAATGAATGCCAGTTGCTGTAGGCTATATTTCAGAGGAAGGAACTGGCCAAACCACCTCTGAGTATTCCTTGCTTATGAAAACCCTATGAAATTCATGGGGTTGCCATAAGTCATCAGGTGACTTGAAGGTGTATGCACACACACAAACACTCCACCAACTTTTATTGTGTTCATAAGATGAATGAAGAACAGCAATGACTTGAACTGCCTATGAAGGTGTTAAGTTCAAAATTCTAGTCCAAGCTCTTCAGGAAGGGCTGCAGTTCAGTGGCAAAATCCATAGGCTGGAATTGTTTAGTTGTTTAATATTTGGCACTTCAGTTAGAGTAGTAAATCCCATTGATTCATTGGATCTACTCTAGATGGATCCGGACCATAATTTATA